TGTGTAACGCTGTATTTACCTGAGTCGTGTGTCAGTATGTGGCAGAGTCCCCCGCATGGCGGGCTCCAGTTCGTTGAGTTCCATCGCGAACCGAGTGAACCCGTAGTACAGCTCGTGCTCCGGGGGCATCGCGCCTGGACAGAACATTATTCATTAGGAAGTTTCAATTGAAAATGTATGTGTGTGTAGTATGTATATTTGCATACACACTTCTACAGTTGGTTTTGGACAAGTTTTTGGCTATATTCTGGTATCGTCTTTCACCCGATACGACGATTTTTTTCTCATATGATAACAGAGGAATGGTACGTACCCACATTTTGTTTAAATCTGACATTATGTAGGTAGTATAGTTACCGGGCCTCCAGAGACACCTGGCGGCGGGCGGGTCCCCGGCGTAGAGCGCCTCGGACCAGCGGCCCGCCAGACGCAGGCGCGCGCCGCCGACATTATGTAGGTAGTATAGTTACCGGGCCTCCAGAGACACCTGGCGGCGGGCGGGTCCCCGGCGTAGAGCGCCTCGGACCAGCGGCCCGCCAGACGCAGGCGCGCGCCGCCGACATTATGTAGGTAGTATAGTTACCGGGCCTCCAGAGACACCTGGCGGCGGGCGGGTCCCCGGCGTAGAGCGCCTCGGACCAGCGGCCCGCCAGACGCAGGCGCGCGCCGCCGCTCATAACATAAATAGTGAAAAGTGGGTGTTACTTCTGTGTGCACCTCTGCCTACCCCTTCGGGGATAAAAGGCGTGATGTTATGTTATGTGTAACGCTGTATTTACCTGAGTCGTGTGTCAGTATGTGGCAGAGTCCCCCGCATGGCGGGCTCCAGTTCGTTGAGTTCCATCGCGAACCGAGTGAACCCGTAGTACAGCTCGTGCTCCGGGGGCATCGCGCCTGGACAGAACATTATTCATTAGGAAGTTTCAATTGAAAATGTATGTGTGTGTAGTATGTATATTTGCATACACACTTCTACAGTTGGTTTTGGACAAGTTTTTGGCTATATTCTGGTATCGTCTTTCACCCGATACGACGATTTTTTTCTCATATGATAACAGAGGAATGGTACGTACCCACATTTTGTTTAAATCTGACATTATGTAGGTAGTATAGTTACCGGGCCTCCAGAGACACCTGGCGGCGGGCGGGTCCCCGGCGTAGAGCGCCTCGGACCAGCGGCCCGCCAGACGCAGGCGCGCGCCGCCGCCCTGTACCGCGCCGCGGACCTCGTGCCGACTGCTGGACCACGAACTGGCCTGCACCATACGACAATACGGTTATTTAATAACACTACTTACTGAAGTCATTTAAGGCTACATTGTTAAAGATTATGGACCCCGGTCGTGCTTGAAACTAGTCGAGTTCACTCACAGGCCGGAGTTAGTAACTTCACTGACAGGCCAGTTTTTCTGTGAGGCCGTTGCATTTCTCCGCTCGAACATAAGCAAAGCATAAAATTCGGCCGAAAGACACTATTACAGGGAGTGAAATTGCAAGGGACAGGAATAAGTGTAGGTACCTTAATGAAGTTGAGTTTGCACGTGATGTCAGTGCCGTGGCATGCGATGTGCATGTCCCCGTACTGGTCCACCCAGCGCTGCCCACCGAACAGGTTGTGTACGCATGTCGTTACCTATAGTGAAACCAAAAACAAAGTTAATGTAAATAACTATTTTATGATCACCATCACGATGCATAAAGACAACGAAATTCGAACTAAACCGCTGGATACTGAAAAAAATATCTGTTGTAGCTCTATTGAATGGAAAATATATTTAGTTTTTCAGTGTTCACGTTTGTTTTAAGTAAAAAAAGAAAATTTTATGTATATATAACATTTACGTCTCGGACGGACTCCGAGCAATTACGAGTAGTGAGCTGTTTTGAAATTATAGTTCAATATCAAAATTATAACGTTTACATACAACTAAGTTTAAGCCGGTTAATTAATATACTAAAACGTTCTCCTAAGCGTAACAAACACTATTTTGGAAACCGCATCAGAATCAAACACTATTCTGGAAACCACATCAGAATCAAACACTATTCTGGAAACCGCATCAGAATCAAACACTATTCTGGAAACCGCATCAGAATCAAACATTATTCTGGAAACCGCATCAGAATCAAACACTATTCTGGAAACCGCATCAGAATCAAACACTATTCTGGAAACCGCATCAGAATCAAACACTATTCTGGAAACCGCATCAGAATCAAACACTATTCTGGAAACCGCATCAGAATCAAACACTATTCTGGAAACCGCATCAGAATCAAACACTATTCTGGAAACCGCATCAGAATCAAACACTATTCTGGAAACCGCATCAGAATCAAACACTATTCTGGAAACCGCATCAGAATCAAACACTATTCTGGAAACCGCATCAGAATCAAACACTATTCTGGAAACCGCATCAGAATCAAACACTATTCTGGAAACCGCATCAGAATCAAACACTATTCTGGAAACCGCATCAGAATCAAACACTATTCTGGAAACCGCATCAGAATCAAACATTATTCTGGAAACCGCATCAGAATCAACCACTATTTTGGAAACCGCATCAGAATCAAACACTATTCTGGAAACCGCATCAGAAATAACACTATTTTGGAAACCGCATCAGAATCAAACACTATTCTGGAAACCGCATCAGCCAATCGCGAGATAAACGTTAATAAGGATAAAAATAGCTCAAACACAAACAAAACTTACCTTATTCCAACTATAATGGTCACCAGTAGAAAGCAACTTGACATGGACTCGCCCGGTGGGCTGGAACTCCATGGACTTCCCCCAGAACTTGGTTTTGATCCTCGCTTCCTGCCAGAAGCACCATCGCGTGGATTCTGCGTGGCATGCTGATATTGGAGGGTGGTGGGATACCTAGGGAATAAAGTTAATGTTAAACGACTATAAAATAGTATAATATATGTGAAAACTATATTTTTAAATGTAGGTCTTTTTTTAAACGTTGCCCCACACTAGGATTTTCTCCTGTGTCGTGTGTGCGTTTACAAACATACACATGACGTTGAGACCCTGAACAACAATCTGTGGATCACACAAAGAGCTCCGTGCAGAAATCGAACCCGCTACACGTTACCCAGCCACCGTGCAGTCAAGTAAGAAATAATTATACTTTAAGTTTTACTGAATACAAGTGATAAGCCCTTATTTCAAAATGTATGTATGGTAAGTTCGTATTTTTCAAACTGACTGATAATTTGATTTACTATGTATTTGAAATGGGTCAAAATGCGTGTCTGTTAAGTTATCGAGACCCTATATAAGGGCAAATAACAATATAGTAGCCGATTCCTTATTTTAGTAATCTTAAAATATAATTTTAACTGCACGTTCACTCAAAAAATGCTTAAAAATCTTCTCTAATCACCTTAATTAATCACAAAATGAGTAAAAGCCCTTGTTTCAAACATACCTGTTCAGCAATAAACCGGAACCCTTTATCATCACGCACGCACTCATACGTCTCAGCCAGTAAAGGATTGAACGGCTTGGACGCGGCGCGGTGAGCGGACGACGCATATGCGCTCACTGCAAACGCGGCTATGAGCGCCATACGTTCTATCGGACTCTTGCATTCAGCGGCCGAGTCCAGGAGCTCAGAGTATTCTAGTTCTTCGCATAGTCGCTGGGGAAGAAATTTTATAGGGTTCATGATAACAATATTAAATAGGTAAATAAATTATCCACTTAATGGATTATCAGCTTAATTCAGTTTGTAGTTAAGTTCAAATTAGATAGGTAAAATCTGTACATGAAACTGTTGCAATAGCGTTGTCGTATATACATGTAGGTTGAAGATATTATTAAGCTTATTCAGGTGAATAACAATAATTTACTCTGAATCCACGATTGCGAAAAATCCACAACATTTGTTCATAAATGTAATCTCTAAACATCGCAAATAAGGTCTATAATGGAGTTAGTGGAGACTCTGCCATTAATTCATTGACAATTACGACTTATTCACGTGAACTATTCCAGAAAAACTTTATTACTTTCAAGTCTAACCGGGCCTCATATTCATTCGTGCGTTGTGTGACATCACGTAAGTACTTTAATTCTTACCTGCAGCATATTAAGCGGCTCATTAATAGTGACAGGCATGGAGATCTGACTTAGATCCTTGCCGATGTTCTTGTAGAGAAGGTTCCAGAGACTGGGCCCGCCGGGCGTGGGCCGCGTGGAGGGCAGGCGCGTGCGCCGCGACCAGCCCGCCGGCGGGCCCGCGTCCGTCGCGCGGAGCGTCACCTGCTCCGCCGACACTACTGGGGATATGTCAATACTACTTATGACGCTGTTTTGTATAGGCTTAAGGTCCAATTTCACCATTTACTTTTATTACCTTACTCAATGTTGATTAAGGAGTTTTATGGAGGTTTTCTTTATGAGCAGTCATATTTTTTATTTTGTTATACGTTGTTAGATTCCAGGCAACAATTTTCATGGAAACGAATCAATCGTTATTCATAACAGATCGTGAGACTTTACTTTTTAGTAAAATTGGACCTTGTAAATGAGTAGAGATATAAGAAGGGTATGAGAGAATGCTGCATAAAAGAGATATTCAAGAGAAACGCAACAATACAAAGAGAGATTGAGAAGAGGACACATACATAAAATGAGAGACAATAGTAAATGCACTAGGATCAACGCTGAACGCTATTGTTATTGATGAAAGTTCAAACCAGGGACAAAAGTTCAAGCTACATATAAAACAGAAAAAATCTTCTAGTAATAGTACCGTAGAATTCCAAGACCATTCGCATTAATCCTTGTGTATCTAATTGGACCCTGTTAAGCAGTAAAGACCCAGCCCACATTTTATTACTCTTGAGTAAACGAAGTTTAATATTGGGCAGATAATAAACTTTAAACTTCATTCAGTAGGTACCTAAATGTAGACTGGATCTTTTCTGCCTAACAGGGTCTAATTAGTAGTGGAAAAATATATTTTAGGCGTAAATGCACGTTTAAGTAATGGGATCCTGGATGTGTGAGTAACTGGAGGTTGAAGTAGTGAGTAACTAGATGCTTGTAGTGAGTAACTGGTCGCTTAAGCAGTTAGAAGCTAGAAGCATGCAAATAGCCTACTTATTGTGTAAACATAGGTAACGTAACTTATAAATGCAGATATCAAGCCACGTAGGCAGAAGTGCTTGTACATAAAGTATATATATGTTCGATGTAATAACCACTTTGTTATGTTATGAATCCCGCGTAATATGAGTCGAGCATATTGCACTAATTATACCGGGCATAACTCCACTCCAGTGACAATGCCATTTAAGCGCTTGTCTACCGATAGGATAGAAAACTTAATGTACCGGAATGACACTGGTAAGTTAAAATTTATGTTCATCTCATATTACCTAATTTTATCTACTCACTCGGTAGACAAGAGCTGAATGGCATTTGGCTCATTGTATGCCAGATTACTACTACAGAAAACCGACGCGAAACAACGTCTGCATTGTGTTTCGGCGTGTGAGTGAGGTTACCGGAGGCCCAATAACCCCCCAAAGTCAAAGTCAAAACATTAGTAACTATTATTATATATATTAGTTACTATAACATAACTAACTTAGCTGTAAGAGTTGAAATAAATAAATAAATAAATAAATAAAAATTTATTTAAATTAAACCATAATTTGGTACTTTTGAAACATAATACAAAAAAATAATAGTCTGTCAGTCAGTCCGTCAGTGAAGCTAGGTGAAGCTAGGCCCCTCTCCCTAGTCTCTCCAATTCCCGAATCCCCCACAATTTTTAAATTCCCAATTCCCAAAAGGCCGGTAACGCACTTGTAACGTCACTGGTGTTCCTGGTGTCCATGGGCGACGCCGATTGCTTACCATCAAGTGATCGTCTGATCGTTTCACGGCTCAACCCATAAAAAAGTGAGGAAGCTGCGTCTACAAAGCTGATAACTTACACTGGTGTCCTTGCAAGCGTGGTACAAAGAGTTACTGATTACGACACACAATGTAAACTCACTCGCACCATCAGAGTTGTCGGAGCTGGCTGAGCCTTCCTCGCTACTCAGCGAACCTGCTTCAGATGAGGAGTCGCCTTCCAGCTCTATCACTCCTGACTGGAAGGAGAGAGTTATTGCGTCATTTATTTTTTTAAATAATTATCATAAAAACAAGAAGATCGCAGAGAAATGCATAATTGCACATTTATAATATGGATTATTCAGTGAATATTATTTCTAAGAATATTCGAAAATATACCTCATCAGCGGCTATGATCTCCGCCGGTTTATGGTCGGAGTCGTGCTCCTCCGCGTCGAAGAACTCGGAGGCCGACACACAGGACGAGCTGTAGCTTAGAGACTGCTGGAACTGACGGTTGTTCACCTGCCGAGGATTTATTATTATTCGTGTTACGAGTGTGGCAATAAGCTTATTTGACTACATTACTACTATTAGCTATTATAGCTTGTAATTTTGATAAAATCTTTTTACTAATAACGATGGAATAACAGCATAGAATCAAATAATTGCAGAATTCGTTATTAGAAAAAAATTGTATGTCAGAAATAAAATGGAATTGTCATCGGGAAAAATCAAGGGATTGTGGTACTGTTACGGACAACAAATATTATTAAAAATAGTGGAGTCGTTTCTGAGTTATGTGCATGTGCATTATGTAAGTACAGCATGGTGATTAATGCTCAAACCTTCTCCGTGTAAGAAGAGGCTTTTGCTCAGCAGTGGGCATTTATAGGCTGTTGATGATGATGAAGTTTACTTACGGCATCAGAGTTGGGTCCGACGGACGATATCTCGGCCAGGTCGGACGCGTCGTGTATCCTCGACAGGCGGGAGCGGAGTTCTGTTCGAAACACTTCACTCGTCATTATTTACGTTTGTCAGTTTAAGACTATATTAGACACAAACATGTGCGGGGTGTGCCAGGGTGTGGTTGTGGTCATGCGAGGGTTGTGAACTAAATTAATCATTCATTTAATGAAAAACTGAAATATTAGCTGATGAGAACTTTTATAAATTCTATTATTTGCAGATTATAGAAACATATCGGGTCAGATTCCCGGGTCGGGCAAAGTATTACTGGGATTTTACAAAATTCTCAGTAGTAGCACGGAGTCTGGAATTGTGGACGGTATATGGCAATAGGCTCACCCCCTATTACATGGGACTCGTAACATAAATAGTGAAAAGTGGGTGTTACATTGTACAGTGGCATAATGTGCACCTCTGCCTACCCCTTCGGGATTAAAAGGCGTGATGTTATGTTATGTATGTTATTACAGAAACATACTCCATGTTTATCATTCATTTTAATGAGATTATGTATGTGTTTGAGTGCATGAAATTATATTTATGAAAGTGCATTTAGGAAAAACTGTGAAGATTGTTTGACTTGAATTCCGATTCAATAGTTATTCATCATGACAAATAAGGAGTGTTTTTTTGGTGCAAACTAATACATGTAGGCTTTGAGCCAGATATTATTATGAACTTTTTTTTTTAAGGGGGGAAGATCATCGAATTACTGCTCCCGCCTGGGTAAAGCGGGAGGGAGTCTCAGACTCTTACTGACTAAAAACCACCCCGTTCCTTCTCCTGCACGTCGAGTCGGAGCCCCGGTTACCCGTTAGGTTCTCCGCGACAGATATTATTATGAACTAGCGACCCACCCCGGTTTTGCACGGGTGCAATATGCATGTATTATACACATAAACTTTCCTAAAGAATCACTCTATCTATTAAAACAAACCGCATCAAAATCCGTTGCGTAGTTTTAAAGATCTAAGCATACATAGGGACAGACAGACGGCGGATAGCGACTTTGTTTTATACTATGTAGTGATTTAGCTCTACAAACAACTTAACCAATCTTTATTATAAGTATTTCTGTCACAAAATCTCCGACAACAAGCAATACAATATCTATAACACATAATGCAGTCTCACCGGAATTCTGTTGTAATGCTGTAGTGAGGTTTGTTCGTAACGCCGCCATTACAGCGCCGGGCGTCGAAGCTGTTTCCGCGGCGTCCATTGCCGCTCGGAGACGACCACGCTCGCAGACCTGTGGGGATAAATGTACAATAATAACATATAGTATTATGGTATACTAAAAAGTGTAGGTGTGTATATTTTGCTCATCATTATCATTCGGAATACGTTGACAGCTTAACAAAGTTTAAACATACTTTTCATGGTGGGATTTGCAATTATTCTAATTATATCATTTTAATTTTATTCAATTTTTTATGGAATAGGACTCAAACGAGCAGACGGATCACCATTTCTTGGCAGCTGCTTAACTGGCAGAATGGTTTCGATTTTCAGTACAAAAAACAGTATATGTAGGTTTTCAATTTAATATTTATAGGTAGCTGTTCCTGATATTAATGTGTGCAAGTGTATTCTCATTGCTTAAAAGCGGAATATTTTTAACCGACTTCAAAAAGAAAAATATCAGGTTCTCAGTTTGATTTGTATGTATGTTTGTGTGCGATATTTCGCGATTGGCTGAACCGATTTTGATGCGTTTTTCAAAAGGGATAGTTAACTCGGGAGAAGGTTTTAGTATATTAATTAATCGACTTTAAAAAACAGTTTAAGTTGGTTTTTTTAAACGTAGCATATGAAAGTCACATAATATAAGTGGTCAATAAAAATGGCGACAAAAACAAATTGGCTAACAAAACAAAAATCTAAACTCACCAACGTAGCCACAACAGTCTTCAGATTAGCAACTAGATCCTTAGCTAGCACGGTGAAATCTTCCCTGAGCTGATGGTCAGGAGTGAGGCTGGTGAGGGAAGCAGGTCCTGGAGCCGTTGCTAACGTCTCAGCACCAGGTAGTGACTGGGGACGAGCCGCTGCACACGCTGTAAGCCAACATAAATGAACGTTAATGAAGGAATGATGTAGTATGATCTGGTGTGATGTGGACCCCTTACTGTTCGCATAATGATAATATTAAAATTTTTAAAGAATTTTCTTATGTATAAAAATATTAATTATCGTCACTTTAGCCATAACACGTCCATTGCTGTACATAAACCTACCTCAATGACTTCCGAAATCAACCGTCTAAAAATAGTAAGCTTTGACAATTACTTAACAGTTTGACTAGGTACCGACAGAAAACTGTTGAAGGTAAAACCTCTGCTAGCGTGGCCCATACCTTGTCCCTCATGGCGTTCAAGGTGTTAATATTAATATAGTTACGTCCAGCAGTGGATGGTAAAGCCAATGTTTAATAGAACGAATTAAAATTATGCCAAGATATACTGTGACAAAAAACATTATGCGAAAAGAAAGGATCCTGATTGATATTGAATGTTTTCATTTCTTTTTAGTTGAGATTATTTTTATTTTGATACGTGAATAGCTGTGTGGTGACGCTAAATAAAGTCAAAAAAACACTTGTGAAGATTACTGGTGATGTACAGTCAAAGGTTAAAAGTCCACACGGCAATGCGTAAGTAATTTCATATTAATGTGCATTAAAACGCGTGCGTACGCATAAACACACGCACGCGTACGCACACGGATAAAATATGCATGTGCGTGTGTGTATAAGCGCTGCAGCGCAACCGATAGTAGTTTTACGGTGGCAGTGGTTTTGACCTTTGACCGTACACGAGACAGTGGTTGCGCAAATATCTGGTTTAGCGCAAGGTTGTTGCGCAATGCTTTATTAATGCGCAAACTAATAGAATTTTGAATACATAAACAGTTGTGTATTGCATAAAGATGCATGTGATGCATTGTTGCACAAAATGGTTACTTTTTATATTTCTTCCTGTAAAATGACAGTAAGATGAACTTAGAATAATATTTAACAGTAAAGCACGTGGTTGCAATGTGATAAGTGGTAACCTCTTACATGAGTGTTCATAGTAGTACAGACGCCAGTTTCTTTGATAGATTTACGACCTTATAACAGAGAAATAAAGCTGAAAATCTATGAAAGAAATATAACTGTACGATGTTGGCGTCTGAATATGATTAAAGAGATACCCTTTTGTTATATTCATAATATTGATATGTGAAGCAAGTCATGCTTAAACAAGGTTCTGAAATGAAGGTGTGATGTTGAACATAGCTAGATAGATGCGTTATATTCTAGGTATTATTAATTATACAATTTATTGCTTGTGTAACATTTATAATGTCACTATATGCTACTGCGGTAGTCGGAAGATTCTACAAAAACCTCGCAAAAAAAATTACGGCGTCATTATCTTAAACCCAAATTTAATAATTCTGCTGATCAAAACACAAAATTTGGTCCAATAAATTGAGCCGTGTCACTGCTTTCAACGAATCCAATAAAATACAGATGCTAATAAGTTACTGCTATGCTTAACAGCGCGTGAGGATAATGATTTTTTAAACAAAAGTTAAAGATTTTCGAAGAGACACCTAGACACCGAATATTGGTACCAAATACAAGTCCTAGAAGGTATATAATAGTATATAATTAAAACTAAAATATTACTTAAATTAAACAGTTTAATTTCTTCTCCTATGAATCAATATCTCAATGTAGAAGTCCGTTTTAGAAAATATAATTTTAATAGGAGTAATAACTACTACTCTATCTACTTCAGAATTGTTGATACCCTATTTACCATAGGTCGCAACCAAAATAATGAAACGCAAAGAAAACTATTCAAAAGAAAGTAATGATGACATCTTTAGAAAGCCGGTGATTACGCCTGCACTAAATATTCATTTATGACAACGAGTTATCAACACTACTTCGAACTTTTAACTAAATATGATGAAAATAAAACAAAAAAAAAACTCACATTTTCGATACACTTCCTCTCTTAAAACTTGAACAATATACTTGAACACAGTTCTAGCATAGAACACTAACACACCATCACTGTCTTTTCCCATATTTCAAACTTAACACTATTGACTAAAATCGTCAAACAAAACTCACTATTTGAACAATTATTAGCACAAAACACTATATTTTTTATTTTCTTTAAGTATTATTATTGGAATTTATAGTATAAGAGTAAAATCTTATTGTTTGATTCACGGAAAATACTGGCATAAGAAGACTTGAGTCATTATGCCCGTCTGAGGACATGTTCGAGCAAAATTATACTCTAAACTGTTAAGGTAAAGTTCATTTTGCTTTGTGTTGACAATGTACTGAGATGTTGTAGGTACATTAGATAATACAAGATTCTGTTTATCTTTGATAAAAGATTCTGTGAGATAATGTTAAGGTTATTGGAGACTCTGTTGATTTCCAACCTTATTGAGTGGAGAATAAAGTTGATATTTAATATGCTATTTTAAATGAGATAAAAATTGATTTGCGATTTGTTTTGTTTGATCCGATTTCTTCTCGATTAATCTTTAGCTACGTAACAAAGAGACCTACATTTTTTAATAGACGAAAATAAGATATGAATAGATTCTGAATGTTTACGAAATTACAGAAAATCTCTCAAGAATCATTCATTTAAATGTAGGTATGAATCAAAACGTTAATTCTCAACGAAATAATATCTGCGCATTTAAAAGAAAAACTGAAAACTTTACCGACAATATTTTCCTAAGAACCTCCTTAGAGGATATTTTTTCAAACTCATTATCTACAGAATTAGACATGCCTAACTCCTTTTTAAATTCAGATACAAAAATACATATTTTAATAGCTTTGCCAGCTAAGACCATGCACTATAATAAAAATTAGCGTCGTGAGCGTTCATATATACAAATGCGATGCGTTCGAGAAGGAACAGGGGATAAAACGTAAAATAAAAAGTCTTACGAACTAAAGTGGATGCCAGAAATGTTGATAGAAAAGCTGTAACGGAAAAAAGAAGAGGTATTTATTATCCTTCGTTGGTAAGAGAGCCGTGCGTCTTTTGGAATGGCTGGTCAAAGATTTGTGTACGGTTTTTAAGGCAGTTACATTAAGGAACCACTAGCGATTTCTTGCATTTTATCGAAATTTAATAAATTAAAAAAAAAATATATTCCTTTTACAATAAAATGTTCTCATTTAAAGGTAACTTAATTGCCTAATATACGACATACGTTACCAATTAATAAAATACTGGTCTCAGAGAATATTTATTACCAGCTACTTCCGCGCGGTTTCACTCGCTCTGCTCGGCGCCTATTAATCGTAGCGTGATATTTTATAGCTTATAGCCTTTCTCTGTAAATGGGCTATCCAACACAGAAATAACTTTTCAAATCGGACTAGTAGTTTCGGAGATCAGCGCGTTCAAACACACAAAAAAAACAAACTCTTCAGCTTTATAATATTAGTATAGATGTAATGAAAAAGAAAAAAAAACCCCGTGTCTTTGCTCTAAAGTGTAAATACAGTAAAGTATCATGATACTTAGTCTTCAATAGTAGAAACTATTTGATAAAAATAACGTTTGTGTCATCGTCAAATCAGCCAAAAGTCGACCACTCCTGAACATAGGCTTCTCTCAATGACTTCTAAATCGACCGGTTGGACGTGAACGTGAGTCTAGCAGCTCCATGCGACCTTCATCCGATAGTTTCACTACTTTGTTGTCCTTGCGTTGCGATCGTTTTAGTCAACTATAATATTTTTTACGTATGGAATATTGACATACCTACCATTATAAGAATTTTAGGTATTCTAAAAACTCGTACATTACCTTATCCAGCCATTCTGTCATACCGACTGCATTTTTGGCGCAAGAACTAAAAATACACCCAGTACAAAAACGCACTTTTAGTCTAATGATTATATAATTACAATAGCAGTTACCACGATATGAAATGAAAGAAAGTTAATATTTAGTTTTGTTAGAAAATACCAATCAAATTAAGCACCTGCTTAAATGGTTGACATATGAATGTGTATCTATGAGAGCTATGTGGAGAATCAAATATATAGCTTCAAATGAATTAGATCGCACTTACTCACATCGAGTCAGCTCAACTCGACTAGTTTCAAGACACGCAGGGGCCCATAATCATGAGAAGCGGAAACTAGTCGAGTATACTCGTCGAACAGAAACGTGAGTAAGCCGTTTGACATCATTAATTTAATGTCTCACGACAATTTTAATATTAAAATTGCTTCAAATGACTTGATTAGTTTGTTGAAGTCAATATAAAATGATAGAACAGATTAATTTACCTAAAATCTTTCTCGGAAGAGTTTTATGTATTGGTATTTCTTCGTCTCTTTAAATTTTATTCCACTTAGGTTTTATTTCAACGGTCTTTATTAAACCGGTAGAATACTCAATTTGATCTTCAATATAAATGAATTGATTAATATCCAAAATAAAGATTTATGGATGACCTAATGAAAAGTTGATTGCCAACTCTTTACCTATTTTAACAATTATTTCAGTTTACAAGGCTTCTTGTATAGTAATTAATATTATTGTATGAACGGAAATGACATGCTTAGCACCAACTCTACAAGAGTTCGACATGCCTAGCCAAATGTCAATGTCAAATGTCACGTGCAAGTGATTGGCGCCATTTTGATTTCTTTTTTTTTCAGAGCCATGCCAAGGCGGCGCATCATAATGCCAAAACTTACCGATTTCATAAAATCCTTGCAAAGACATAAGTTTTAAAATAATTATTCGATTGATTGCTAAAAAAAATCAAAACGAAATTTTTATTCGAACATTTTACTTGACAGTATAAATTAATATAAAACAAAACATGATTTGTAGTTAATAAATGTAAATTGTTAGTAAATGTTATTTCTCTTGGTGTTCGGTTTGGGAGGAGCAAGGAGGGGTTTGTAGGGGGGCCTAGAAACAAAATATCTAATCACATATACAGTTAATTCTTTGAGGATATGTAGAGTAAATGCTTACTTCCTTATGCAATTTTTAGGTATGACTGGTTCTTATTTTTATTAGAAATCAAGTTTTGCGTTATGCCAACTCATAGCTGGATTTAAAAAGGCAAGAATTTTTCGCCAGCATTTGTCCACTGCTGCACATAAGCCTCTCCAACACCACGACAAAAAATTCAAACGCTTAACAAATATTCATAGAAAAATACATTGATTGACATATATTTCACTTATTTCTACTATACATATCCCCAAACAATAGCATGAATAAGCAACTAACACACTTGCTAACATTTAGAATAATATTAATATCATATAAATAAATAGTACATAGTACACGCTTACCTATGGGCAGGGAGGCGGCGGAGTTGGGCACTGAAGACGCACCGCCGCCGGGAGAGGGGGGCGCTGTTAGCGCTGATAAAGCCTAGGGAAAATATAAAGTAATATATATAATCTGTTGAAAAAAATAAGTAAATGGTACATGGATAAAATCGTATTGTATAATTTTATAGAGAACTAGCTACTTCCGCGCGGTTTCACACGCTCTGCTCAGCTCCTATTGGTCGTAGCGTGATGTTTTATAGCCTATAGCCATCCTCGATAAATGCGTTATCGAACACAACTCGACTTGTAGTTACGGAGATTAGCGCGTTCAAACAAACAAACTCTTCCGCTTTATATAATAGTATACGATTTCATTCATTTCAATGGGACCTGTCGTATTTTAGCTCACCACACCAGGGGGCACTAGTGTGCTAGTGTGAACCTCTTGTTCTTCGTCCAATAGGGAATGAGCTAGTGTCACATCATTGAACGTTCAATATTTGACAGCTGCAGCCATTGGACAATAAATATCTTGCTACAGTTGCGCCACTTGGTGAGCACAAAAACGGTAGCCCCATATCAGATCTTTCAGGTATTATTGTTCTTATTGGTTGTATTTGTTCTGAGTTCTCTGTTCTTCTGTATGTGATCCAGAATAACAATTTTTTAGACTACACAAGTCGCATGCGAAAATCTAAACTTTTAAATCTTCTTTTGTTGAAGTTTGTCTTAACCTACGTATTATAAACTTGAGAATCTCACTTAGGTTACTGAAAATTCCTACCAACGACTTATTATATTAAGGTCCTTGCTCTGCAGCTGTAGCCAAATGCCACTTAGCGCTTGTATACATGTAGAATATAAAACCAAATTATATGGGATTGACGTAAATTGCTCGTTGTAAATACTGCCTTGTTGGTTCGATTCCCGGGTCGGGCAAAGTATAACTGGGTTTTAAAAAAAATCTCAGTAGAAGCACGGAGTCTGAAATTGTGCCCGGTATATGGCAATAGGCTCACCCCCTACACATGGGACTCATAACATAAATAGTGAAAAGTGGGTGTTACATTGTACAGTGACATAATGTGCACCTCTGCCTACCCTTTCGGGACTAAAAGGTGTGATGTTATGTCATATGTGACGTAAATTTTGATATTTAGTTTTCTACTCTCTCTGTAGACAAGCGCTAAAGTGGCGTTTGGCAAAAGGCACTGCAGACTGAAAACAAATAATAATTTCAAACTTACCATATGTGAACTGGACGGGTCTATGTGAGAAGCTTGTAGTTCGACGGAGGCACACTTGCTGTTCGACTTCTTCTTCCTCAAGCCGAACTTGCGGCGGTCCTTCTTAACGTTAGGCGAAGCGCCTTCCAGAGATACCTGGAGATTATAACATCAAAGGATATTATTAAGAGGGTATAGGCAGCACATAAAATACCAAAGGTTAGAATTGTTTATATCTGAAAATAAAAAACATAAGGCATTTTCCGGTCTTCATTCGTTCCACTACGATTAAGGCCCTATAATGTGTTCTCAATAGGGCAATCCGCAAAAGTTGTTAAAACATCATAGGTAAATCGACCCCAGAAGACCTACAAACTTATTACAATAACGAGTTAACTACTACATAACAAAAACATAGGTACTAACATCATAAAACAAGTACAAGAACGCAAGGGCAACACATCTAGAGGACAATTACGTTCTAACTTGCACTATCACCGCTTTTTACAACAACACGGACCTGCAAATTGTGTTAAAATATTAATAATAATAATAATAATCCTCCATGCCGGTTTCGGCAACGTTGTATACATGCTAAATATAAATAAATAGAACGGGGGATACATGTTAACATTAAAGCCACAGGCCTATGGACCTGTACATATGAGGGTCTACTATCATCTCCAAACTTTTTTATTGGATAAGCCGGTAAACGAGCATCTGGATCACCTGATGGTAAGCAATCGGCGCCGCCCATGGACACCCGGAACACCAGAGACATTATAAGTACTATACCGGCCTTTTGGGGATAAGGAATTTGAGGGTTGTTGGGGATTGAAGGATTCCCTGCCCTAGAAGGGGGGACGGGGTAATTGGGCTTCCGGTAACCTCACTTACACAACGAAACACAACGCAAGCGTTGTTTCACGTCGGTTTTCTGCTCGGCCGTGGTATGACTACGGTCGAGCAAGCCCATTCATGCCGAGGCATGGCTCTCCCACACTAAGAAAGCTTGGCAGCAACAAGTATAGAATATGCTAAGAATGATATGAAGACGTGTGACGACTAAATGATAGGTTAAAAATAAATAAAACGAGGAAAATGGATGTCCTGCACTGGCTACTCAGTGACTTGCGATAATGAGAAACAAAAGTGCATCACCAGTTATTTCAATCCAATTATTATTTCATCCACAAAATTAGTTCAACTCGTGAAATGAAGGTCATAATTGGGTAAGTACTAAGATGGAAATAGGCTGACCTTGGGACCATTCTGAAAACAAAATGTAACTCCTGATGTAGTCGAATAAAAAGGTTAAGGGTCTGTTTCACAATGTTAACCGTTATCTACTACATAAAATTGAATTAAGAACGTAAGTTGTACGAAATATTTGTCACATAAGTTTATCAGGTACTTATAAGAAGGTGGTGAAAGTGGCGCTAAGTGCAGGATATTCTTAACTGTGTTTGTCGGGAAGAAAACCACATAGTAAAGTTTGAATAAAAGAGGATATGCTTGTGCGACTATAAAACGGCTCGGCACGGCTCAAGCACGGCTCCGGCACGGCGTTTTTTTGCCTTGGAGACAAATACAAAAAGGTTGTAAGCGCTTTTTTATATCGACGTTATGAAATATGTCATATAAAAATACTACTTAAAGTTCACATTTCAATAACCAGGTAATTGCTGGATTGGAGTCATACTGGAGCCGTGCTGTTAGGCTATGAACTTGAGCCTGTAAACAGCCCCAATGCTAAGCAAAGGCATCTTCTCATACAGAAAAGGTCTAAGGATTGACACCAGTCTCGCTCGAAGCTAATTTTCAGACGCACACAAGGGTAGACTTAATCTATGATGGCATTTGCTACCAGTCCATTTCAGGGGGCTTACTCTTGAATCCAATTCCGATTGATCGACATTGGTATTGTGAAATTTTGTACTCTTGAATTGCAACATTAGAGCCCATTGCATCCGTATTGCGTGGATATTGAATGAACTAAATGGTATTGAGTTTCTAAATGCTATTTAAACAGCTACAAAAGGGGTTGTACAGTTTTCACATTGAATAATTATTGAGATTTTATTGGATTGAAATTGCATTGACATTGAGATTCGTTTCAAGAGTACGCACCCAGGTTGCACAGCAGAAGTGTTACAATAGGATGCACATAATCATGACATTACCAGACATTGCTAGATATATTAACCAGGTTATTACTTACATCAGTATCATGATGGAGCTGCTGCTGCAACTCCAGCGCGTCGAGCAACCTCTGCAGCTGCTGCACGGACAGCTGCGCCTGGCCTAACTCGCGGGACGCGTTCTCCAGCGGACCTCCAGACTCTGAGGATTGATACAAATACAATTTTTAGGATATGATATTTTGAAGGATCACAGTGAATTAATGAAGGTACATTTTTAGGACGGTAAACTTAGGACAATTAAGTTTTGCATCTAAATATTTTGTACTAGTCAGTGGATAAACTTTGGTCCTTATTTACTTATTAAGTGAAATGAAATGTATGTTTGTATATTATTGCTTTTTTGAAGAAGTCTGTCGCTGAAAGTAAAAGGTCCATTTTATAATCCTATTCTTTAAGATTTGTACTAATAACTAATTAACATAAATCAGTACATAAATCAGCCGTCTATAGCTTTTCTACCATCACCTCAATTGTACCATGCTATTAATTACACATGCAGATCTAGCCAATCTTTGAGCTAACAAAGAAAAACATACCTATGTATCTATAATTTACGCTTTAAAATAGCATGCGATTTACGATGACCATGCTGTAACATATAGAATAGTTATAACATTAGATGAACACACGGCCACACATCAACCTATACAAAACCAGTTTATCCTGGTGTCGCGTCGCATCATCTTTCCGCACATTTAACGTTCAGATTATACTGGTTATGTAAAGCTCGATGTGTAGCCGTATGTACCTAGAAAAACTTTAAAAGCATTTAATTTTGTTTATTTGTAAAAGCGAAGTAAGATTTTTTTATTTAACTAAATAAATAAAACGAAATTAAACGGTTCAGAAAACGATAGCGACTACCGAGAATTTTTTTGAAGTTTGTTTTGACAAAAATACAATTATATCAGAAAAAACACAACCTGTATTTACAGCATATAAAGCTAACATAATAATTATTCTTAGTAGGAGCTAATTAATCATTCACCAGCCAAGTTCTGAAGTTAATAATTTTGTTGTACCAAAGTTTACTTATAAAGAAAACACAACTTCAGTTATTCTATGTCTAAGCTAACATTTTATACTTGTTTATGCTTATCTATTTATATTCTACTAGCTTCTGTCCGCGACTTCGTACGCGTAATCCAATTTTTTCCCGTCCCCGTTCGTGATTTTCGGTAAAAAGTAAAAAAAAAGTATTGTTTAAAAAGTATCCTATGTCGGTCTCCTGGCTCTAAGCTACCTCCCTACCAATTTTCAGCCAAATCTATTCTGCCGTTCTTGAGTTATAAGTGGTGTAACTAACACGACTTTCTTTTATATATATAGATGGTTTTATTATTTAAGCTATATAGGTACACGTTTTTGAGTCATTTAGTGAGTTGTGAGAGACTGTCTAAAAATGTTACAGTAGGCATAGACTACATTTGGTGCGAAAATTACGAGATATTTTTTTTATATATTTGATGGGCCGACGTTTGTCCACTATCTCGCCTGGTGGTAAGCGATGATGCGGCCTACGATGGAGCACCTCATCCCATAAGCAACCTATTTACTCAGGCCTATAAATTGTATTGTAAATTGTCCCTATTTTTTTGAATGTTTCACCAAATAAAGAAGGTGTCGTGTTGATATCTTTGATATAATCTAACTTCTGTATAGGAGATTAAATTGAACCGACTTATACATTGTTAATTACGCAAATATTTGATGTATATACAGTAAATAAAAAAGCACGAACAGTAATTTGAAAATAATATTGTTTAATATGTCATAAAAGCTAAATTAAAAAGCGATTTTAGTAATCCCTCACCAAAATACAAAGACCTTCTTTCAGGTACATCACAATATTATTAGAGGACCATTTCAAAATGGGTGTATGGTTGAAAAATGTAGGGTAACATACCTATGATCCAGCCGGAGAGGCGTCCTCCTGGGGTGCCTGACACGAACCCCGCTTGGGGGCCTCTGATGGGCCCGCCGGTGGGGCTCAACAGCCCTACGGACCAAACAAGTCAATGTGGAGGACAGGGGTGCAAGCATTTTGGAAACATATCGTGCAAAACAAGCAGACACATGAAATACCTAACTACATTGTAATTTGAACGAATATTTATTACCTACGTAAGTTCTTAGAAACCTCTATTTTTATATAAATTTTGAGTATTTGTTATTTCTTGTCTGTGGTCTTCTGTTCTCAAGGCGGTTAACTAAATAGATTGGCTTCTTATATCATACATACAATCACATACAAAAAAAAAAACAAAAAAATCCTTTATGTAATTTTAAATCCGAACTATTCTATAGACCTAGATTACAAATTAAATACAGCAAGGGTGATTGGAGGAGAGAAAAAGAAAAGAAGTGAATGTAGAAAATGATAGGATGATAGGAGTAAATAGCATTGTTCTCACACAATTGAACCAACAATACTATGCAACTGAATATTGTATTGTGAACCTGATTGGAAAAGAGTAACCTATGGAGTTTCTTGCTCGTTCTTCTCCATAGGAATCTACTCCTTGGAATGCTAGCTTCACTTTAAATATTTTGTTGACGTTCAAAAGTGCCTTCCTGGTCTAATTAAAAATGAATGATTTTGACTTTGAAATAATGGTAGAAAGCGAAGGAAATATGAATATCCATAGTATCTGCATTTAATTTAAGACTGCAACAGATACATTTATGGATATGTTAATTACGCGTGAATCACGGCAGAGGGCGCGTTGAGCCCGCTCCGCAGCCAACTCGAGTAGAAAGTACAGCGCGACAGTCACCGCGTCTCGTGTCGCCATGCTAGAATATAAGCCTCTAGCATGGCTCGAAACTAGTCGAGTTGCTCGTTAGACAATTACGTGAGTAAGCCGAAAATATAATAATTAGTTTCCGTTTAAATAAGTCCAAAAAGTTTCTATTAGCTACTAGATACGTAGATTAAAAAAACTGCGGCAAATGTATGTACCTTATAAAATTCTATAAATACAATAAAAGAAGGTGCAAGAGTCCATATTTTTGATAGTTATCCTTATCTCTACCGTAATAAGTATCATTTTAGTGATAACAAAATATTTTACGATTATTATTTTGGTGACTAATTTGTGATAATGACTATGTTGTGGGTTTTCCCTTATTTAAAAACATTAATCATGTAATTAAAACAATATTGTTTTTAGTAACATGATAGTTTGAAATTAAATTGTTGGTGTGTTTTATAGTAAAACTAACATAACATCACGCCTTTTATCCCCGAAGGGGTAGGCAGAGGTGTACATTATGCCACTGTACAATGTAACACCCACTTTTCACTATTTATGTTATAGGTCCCATGTAATACGGTGAGCCTATTGCCATATACCGGACACAATTCCAGACTCCGTGCTACTACTAAGAATTTTTTTAAAATTCAATATTTTGCCCGACCCGGGAATCGAACCCGAGACCTCTTGCCCGGCAGTCGCACTTACGACCACTCGGCCAAAGAGGCAGTCAAGAGATTAAAGGCTAGAAATTAAATTTACTATGTATTCTGTTTTGTGTTTTTAAATATTCTCAGTAGTAGCACGGAGTCTGGAATTGTGTCCGGTATATGGCAATAGGCTCACCGTATTACATGGGACCTATAACATAAATAGTGAAAAGTGGGTGTTACATTGTACAGTGATATAATGTGCACCTCTGCCTACCCCTTCGGGGATAAAAAGCGTGATGTTATCTATGTATTTTCGTTTACCTTTTGGTCTCGGATTGAAAAACCTTACAATTCTAAACTTCAAAATCCTTTCAGTATTATGATAAATATAACTCTAAGCTAATGTCAATAAAGCAGAAAATTGCTTGATACTACGAAATGGTAATGAATCATCGACCTATTGGCATCTAAGGTCTTACAAGAACTAATTATTGTAAACAATACTAGAAGAAACACATAATCATGCAAATACTTGCAAAAACAATAAGACTGATGGAAAAATCCAACATTTCTATTAATAAACTATTGTTACTAACGAATGTATGACCAAGACATATGCGTACCTACTCATAATTCAATAAGCTAAAGGAAAAAGAACTCCAACACCATTACGATAAGTTTCAAAATACAATCTACTTCTAAAATACAAGACTTTACAGAAAAATGAACACTAACGTATTTCAATAAGTATCAAAATTCAATTAAGTTTTGGAACATAAGAGTTACACTACTCTACAAATACATAAGTTACCTCAACTGGTCAAATGATTTCCAACCTTATTACAAAACATTATAAAGTAGAAAATCTAACAGATATGGATAGCTTGAATTGCTACATTATTATAATTTTTAACTAACCAGAGCAGTACGAAGGATCACTAGAACGTCGATATAAGGTTTTCAATTCATCGCTCGGGTTCACCTCAACGTTCGAGTCAGTCACAGAACTCGCTCGAGTAACATTGTACTTCTTACTATAAAATAACTGGTATACTTTAAAATCTTTCTCCAACCACTTCTCTCTAACAAAACGCATCAACCGCCTATCCGTCTGCGATTGAGTTGAAACTTTAAACGAAGGCGATAAAAGCGCGATTTCTTTGATCAAATCTTGACGCAATTTTGATGAATTCTTCTTCTTTTTAGTTACATTATTATGTTCTCTGCATGTAGCATTTGTACTGGAAGTGATTTTCGCTTCTGGATCTAACACACGTTTGATCAGAGTAGTCATTGAGCATTCTTTAGTAATTTTGTGAACCCAATGCGGACTAGGGGTTGCATGTTCAGTTGATTTCTTATCAATTTCTACTTTAATTTTATGTATCGAGTGGACTTTTACCAAGTTCGCGGCAAGTGAAGTGTCGCCCAAGGAAGGTCCGTGATCGTAGCAAATCATTAGTTCATCGTAATCACTCTTTGTTTGAACTTCAGAATTCATCACGAGCTGCAAATTAACAGCGCTTATGTTCGCATCTTTAAGGTTTAAATTAGTGCTGCTACGTGTGTTTATTGCTTTTTCTGTGATGGAAACGTCATCGCCTATCGGAAAGCAAGTGACGACATCCCATTGCGTTGCCGCCTCCTTCCTACACGTCCCGCTCTCTGAATCCTCGTTATAAATCTTACCTAACAGACTCAACCCGTATATATTACCACAATTCTTTAAAATCTTCTCATGCTTCTTTCTTAATTTCATGAATAAATTATTGATATCCTTATGCAAACTCGGTATATTTTTCGACAATAGTGATAAATTTTCTAAAAGTAATAGTATGAATTTCTCATCGATCACCCTTGGGGCTGGTTGCTCGAAGACAGATAATTCTGGTTGCTTAGTCGGAGAGTGACATGGTGAACGTCTCTTTGATATTCCATTATAGTCTTTAAGCCTAACCTTTTTTTTGGGCTGAAATTTTGTAGGTTCTTTGTTGAAGGACATGATGTAGCATGATGTGTTTTCGTTCTCGAAAGACGGCCTCGGATCTAACCCTCTTAGAAAGGAGTTATTACTGCTCTTAAATGACAGGTCTAGGGAATGTTCGCTCTCGTGGACAATTTTGTAAGCTTTTGACGTCGCGTCACTACTACTCGAGTATGGTTTTAAATCAAACTCTTTAGGTAAATCCATGTAGGTATCTGGACTTTTACTCCTCTTCTGAAATATCTCATTGGAGTTTGTGCTTTGGATGTACTTCAGCCAATTTTCTTTCAATTCCTTTTGTAATTCTGCCTTTACGCGTTCAGAGTCTGCGAATTGTAGACTGAGGTGTGCGTGTTTATTCTCGACCACTGTCGGAGGTTTCTCCTTAAGTTTTATAGAAATTGACATGATCCCTTGTAAATTAGGGTCACTGTACATCGATATATGTTCCAGATCATACTTAGAAAGGTCGATCACCACTGAATTATCGTCATTATTCTCATAGATGAGGTTTTTGCCAGGATATTCTTTGATAGGCCTTCCCAACTCATCCTTACGTTCTGGCTGTTTGTCATCTTTGACATTCTCATGGGACTTCTCATTCGTCCACGTCGTGTCCTCCATCTTCTTTACTTTAGAGAATATTGTTGTTATTCTTTCTAACAACTCTTTGAGGTATAGTTGGCCTGGATCTATAGTTTTTAAAACCTCAGCGGACTTTGGTTTTGATACTTCCGTGTCTTTTAACGTAGTGACGCTTTTTGAGGCTGTTTTAGTGACGGCCTCCGTCTGTACTTGACACGAAAGTTCTTTAGAGCCTTTGGAAGTCACTGAATGTTCACTGGACGGTGAACTGTTTTCCGAAAGGCTTTTGTAATCTTCTTTAAGTAAAACGTCTAAGTACGCACTAAAGAACTCCTTAGCAACATCGGGAGATATCGAAGTATCACTTATAAGATGGTTCAAAGTCTTCTGTATTTTTTCCGTAGAAGAATTGGAATTCTCGTTGGGGATTTCGGTCGAGGTATTCTCTTCCATCCTTGGAGAGAGTTTACCAATATTATCGATCAGAGTTTTAGTTGTTTTAATATCTCGCTGTTGGTTACTTCTCGTCGTTTCACACATGTACACCGTGTTTTTGAGTAACCGTTCCAGCTCTTGTATTCTTCTTTCTTTCTCGAAACTCTCCGTGTCTCTTCTCGGGCTAGGGCTTTTGGGAGGTCTGTCTGGAGCTTTCGTCACAGGTTTTGTGGTATTCGGTTTCTTTTTGTACTGAAACAGCATTTCACTGAGTCCGTGAAACTGTGTTTGTTTTGACACATGACCAATATAAACACTTGAGAGGTTCTCGTCTTTTGTGAAGTATTTATTTGATTGTCTGTCTATAGAGCGACTGTGCCTCATCGCTGTTTTGACTGGCTCTACTGTGGTATTCTTCAACCAGTATTCTAGCAAGCTCCTAAATAGTGCTTTCACGGGATGTACCTCTTGAAACTTGACGTCATATAAGTCTTTTATCACTTGTTGTATGTAGACCTTGACGTCAGTGACAGTGGTGTTCTTGGCATTTTCGAATATAGACACCATGAGTCGTTCCGTGATGGTGTCATAGTCTGATGTCGTCATGGAATCCTGTAGCGCCTTATTTTCTATAATAGTCACTTGGACTTCATTGCTCTCTGTTTGAACAGTCTCACAAGCCACGTCGCGGTCTGTATTCTTCTCGGAATTATTTAACTTCTCACTATCAGAATTTTTCTCAGTGTTAATTTTGTATTTGCCAAGTAACATGCATTTACTTAGTGGTCTCCTTAAAGTAGGCTCTTCAAAAAAATTCTTATATTTGACCAAATTCGTAGATTTCTTACTCCTTTTCATTGGCGAATTGATAATTGAGGAGCGTGATTTGTTTCGTGTGAAAAAGTAGTATGTTGCGGTAGGTTCTATCTTATTCTCTAGAAATGGTGACGTTTGCCTTTGCGCTTTGACTTCATCTTCTAAGACAGTTTCTATTGTTTTAATAGAATTAATATCTAAATCTGTACTATGTATTTGTTTCTCTGCTTCAGTGCTACCTAATGAGATGTTTGGAGACTTTTTTCTTTGTAACTTGTCTTTAGTAAATCTGGCGACACAGTTCATAGAACATAGACTTCTATGGTTATTGAAGAGTTTTTCATTGAAGTGATTTTCGCAGATTTTAGTGGTTGGAGGGTTATATTCTTTTTCTTCGTCTATAGGGGGCGAGAATGAGAGTGGACTGTAGTAGTTATAGGAACTATTAAGTAAGTCATCTGGGGATAGTTCTTTCTTCCTGGGGAATGGGGAGTCGTCGCTGGAGCCCGAGGAAGTGTCCAGGCTTTCATGGGAGGTACCTTTGGGAGGGGAGAGGATTGTGAGTAGGGGATTAAAGAGTGGAATATTGATATGAAGGTGATTTTAGTCCTATTTAAACTTGAATGGTAGAAGATTGTTATTTGGGAGAATTTATGTGCTATTGTCTCTTATTCCGTTCTTAGTGAACCAAAATATTTGCATGATAATTGATTCTATGGTTTGGACAAAACATCTTAAGAGAATATATACTTTCCACATGGATAGTGTAGTTTCCTAAATTTTATTTTAATGTCCGTCTGGTACATTATTTTTAAACTTTAGACACGTATTTTTTCTTTTCTCACAAAATCAAATACTTTCGACGATATATTGATTTGAAATATCGTGTGACATCACAATGTGCCACATTTTGTAGCACATTATGACGTAACAGAACCTCCCACTCCTAAACTTAGCGCCATTTTATCTAAGTATTGCAACTTAATACGAGAAAATAAAAAAATCGTGTCCAATAATTTTTCATTATTTAACTGACAGACTAATTAGATATTTAATTTTGGTACCCTGGAAACTACCCAATTATTTACTACAAGCAAAACGAATTCACACGCTGATCTAAAAGTCAAACACCTCTACAAAAAACCTCACAAAAATCAAGCTAAGTACCTAAGAAACATTTTTGAAAAATCTATACTATCTTGTGCATGCGTTATAGCAAATAATACTATAATAATAGAGGTAGAATGTTATTAATAATAATAGTACTTACGAGAAGAATTGTCTGTGGGCGGTAGATCTTCTAATGGCGCGTGGATCTTCGGTACCGACTCCCGAGCACCGAATGTTAACAAATGTTGTCGGTATAACCTGTATATTTAAAAAAAATCATTGATTAAGTTAGTGTTTAAAGTCATACGTATTAATAGAAATATAAGTTTCGATTTTACTTAAGTCATTTTTTATTATTAACTCGTCGAGTACCGTCATTATAGACACAATTATAGAACAATAGGTTGCGGTCACCGGTGACCGCTTGATGTATGACAGTTTAATTAGTGTCTGGTGTTTAGCAATTAGTATTTTTTTTTAATAATTATTAACAATCACAGACGAATAACAGAACTTATCAGGAGTGACGATTTGCACATTGAATGCGCAAGTCAAGTTAAAAGTAGCACAAATCCTGTTTTAGTTTCAATGGCAAAACGTCGAAACGTTGACAAAGAAAAATGGAGCATTCATACAAATTCCAATATACATATTACAAACAGTGAACAGAGTTATTAAACCTTGCATCGTTAAAAGGAAGTCCTAGAAAAAAAAACAAAGTAATACAAACCTATGAGCCTTCAGCACATTAAGCCAGGTCCGGAAGACATCAGGAGTCTTCGCTCTGAGGTGGTATATGAACTCATCAGCATCAATGTCTATACGCCTCCGTCTAGCTTTGGCTGATATGACTGACAGGCCGACGTCCACTGAGCCGTGGAGTCGGCCCCGAGCCACGTCTGTAGGTGACCGAGCGTATACTAGGATACCACCGTCTACGACGAAGAACCGCTGGAAAATGACCAAGGATGTAAGTAAACGGTGTTTGGCTATGGTAGAGATGATGTTGGTGATTATTATGACATATACTTGGTGATATGGTTACACATACGCTTAATGAGAAAGTTCTGATTTAACTGCCTCTTTGGCCGAGTGGTTGCAAGTGCGACTGCTGGGCGAGGGGTCTCGGTTTCGATACCCGGGTCGGGCAAAGTATTACTGGGCACGGAGTCTGGAATTGTGCCCGGTATAAGGCCATAGGCCACCCTCAATACATACATTGGACTCATTGGCTTACATTGGACTCATAATATAAATAGTGAAAAGTGGGTGTTACATTGTAGTGGCATTAAGTGTTGTCTGCCTACCCCTTCGGGGATAAAAGGCGTGATGTTATGTTATGTTAATAATGTACCCAACCCGCATATTTCATTACCTTGTGCCATCCTTTGAGAGGCCATTTCCTCTTCTTGTGTAGGTATCCGTTGAAGACGTCCGGCCTCTTCTCGAACCTCTGGCCGTCTTTCAGACCCTCCAACACCTCCCATTCGCTGCCTCGGCGACGACTTAACATACAAAGAAATGTAAAGTTAATAAGTTTCAAAATTAATAATCAACAATAAAAATTAAGTTAAAGAAATTAACTACCTACTATTTATACTTGAATGCTCCTAAGAAAATCTTGTCAGGGTAAAAGGGACCCTAACTACTTATTGCTCAGCCTTGTTTTCAGCTAGACGTTTTTAACCATTTTAGTATGACTAAATATCAAATATTATTAAATGAACTAGAAGTTAATGATTCTCAATGCAGTAGGTATCGTCAGACAAAGACCTAGAAGAATAATATACAATGGGCAGAATAAAAGCTTCGACAAAAAAAGAAGAATTGTGCTTACTCAAAATATTAAATCTACAGTCTAAAATACTAACTTTCCGACTACTTATGTCCGAATAAACATGACAAAACGACCGAATGAGATCTTCGAAAAACAAACATGACTCTTTTTGTTTTTTTATGGCATAAGCCGGTAAACGAGCAGACGGATCCCCTGATGGTAAGCAATCGGCGTCGCCCATGGACACTTGGAACACCAGAGGCGTTACAAGTGCGTTACCGGCCTTTTGGGGATTAGGAGTTTGAGAATCGTTGGGGATTCAGGAATTGGGGAGATTGGGGAAGGGGAGGGTAATTGGGCCTCCGGTAACCTAACTCACACAACGAAACACAACGCAAGCGTTACGTCGGTTTTCTGTGAGGCCGTGGTATCACTCTAGTCGAGCCGGCCCATTCGTGCCGAAGCATGGCTCTCCCACACTTTTTATTGTTCATTGCTTGATATTTTTCTACCACCTTAAATTACGTTCTACTGAAAGCTATGCTTTGTCTAACCTAACCTAAAACCTCTGTTGTCGGTAACTTAGTAATATTGTCGGAGGTTTGGTGTTCTATTCGGAAGTTTAGTTTTGTTATTCGAAGATCCATTTTTATAGTCGGCCACAGACACGTTGGAGATTAATATGTTTTTCGGAACCATTACTATTTCCCATATAAAATCGTTGTACAGAAATATAATGAAACACTTTTACAACCAAAGATGTCACGGACGATTTACACGACAGCTTAAGAGGTCAAGAGAAATGAGGTTAATATTTGGACCCTAAAATAGGCCTTTTACGGTTAACCCATATCAAAGTTCGAATTAAAACATAACATTAATTTAGCTATCACACAAGTTCCGAGCAAACTGTGACCTTTGGAGGTCGTTACTTAAAATAGAGTTACTCTGGAGTAAATTCACGAAATGTTGTGTCATTGTGTCATAATTAATTATTACTTTACGATATTCATTTCGGAAGTAGCTGGCGAAATGTTGATTAGTAAGAGATTCATCATAAAGTTGTAATATTACAAATTCATTTTGACTCAACTCCTACACAAATCAAACTTTGTTCTACGGAATGAGTGAGTAAAATACGCTTCTCATGTTCAATTTCTCTTAGGAGCAAAGCTCTTGAGCCCCTAGCATATTTCCTTTTTAATTTCTTGACAAATATTTTCTGATATTTTATTTTATTAATTGGCAACGTATATCGTATGAAAGGCAATTTAGTTACCTTTAACATGAGAACATTTCGTTGTAAAAGTTTTTTAAAGTTACAGATGTCAATTGCAGCAACTGTAGTTCGGGACTTCACGACTACAAGCGGGTAAAATCACCAGTGGAGAGCAATTTTCAAGATTTTGTAGACAATATGTAACGAACTTTATTGACAGAGAAGCGCTTCGACATTCGTTAACATAACTAAAAGGTAGGATTGACAACAAACATTTTGATAGAAATGAAATCACTCACTTGTCTAGCCACAATATACTAAAATGGCGAGAGGATCCCGTTTTGGGGATACCACATCGTCACCAATATTTAGTATGCAGGATGCCTAATGGCTACGATTTGGCTAACTGCCAGTTTTACTCATATAAGGGGAGAGCTAAGATGACGCATGCTAGACTGCCTATCGATCATACAGGTATCTAGGCAGGTATCTTGGTGAAAAAGACGGACTGTTTTAGTTTTACGAGCAAATTTTTGGCCGGAATTTGAGGAATGTATACAAAAACTATTTTAGGTTTTTTTTATGGAATTTGGTCGACATTGTATGAAGAACTAAATTTAACTCTTAATCAGTTGGTTAAGGTGCAGCAATTTTAAACCTATTTACGACGAGTGACGCACGAGAAGAGTACGACCATATATGTCAGTTTACCCTTAAAAACTTCAACAGATAGTTAGAACTTACCCCCGATTCTTGCCCGCTCGCGTGGGCTGCGGTGGCGGCCGAGGGGCGCGGTCCCCGCTGTCGGCTGACAGTGAGGCGGTCTCCCCTGAACAGTCAGAGTCGGAGGGCGCGCGTCGCAACGCAGCCGCGCGACCCGCAGCGCCGCGACGGCGCTCACCTGTCACCAAAATCGTGTATGTCAAGATACTGATGTGTCTGATAATGATGAGTTTGTGATGACAACTGGTACCGAGTAACTTATCACAAACATGTCAGAATTGTCAATTTACTCAAACTTCAAAACAATCAAATTGAAAAACCCAACCATAAAACATCACTTAGGGTAAAGTAAAGTTAAGAGTAGCCTGAAGATTAAGATCAAAGTAATACTCTGAAAACAGTGACCAACTAAAAGTCAAAATATTTTTATGGAATAAGCCGGTATAGGAACAGATGGATCACATGATGGTAAGCAGTCGGCGTCGCCCATGGACCCGGAACACCAGAGACATTACAATCGCATTACCGGCCTTTAGAGGATTAGGAATTTGAGGATTGTTTGGTATTCAGGGATTAGGAAGATTGGAGTCTGCAGTAACCTACTCACATTTCTTCCTTTTGACTTTTTTATGTACTTATCTTAACCCTCAGTTACTTGGGGCCAGTCATTTCGTTACCGTCTATCCGTTAAATGTTACCCTAGTCTTTCAATAAGGTTATGAAGTTGTCATCATTCTAGTTAAGAACAGCTCTTGACAATCCACTGCAGATCTACATGCTCTACATGAAAGATAGGTTGTAGACTTATTATAAAAAGTTTAGGCGTAAGAGTGTTTTTGTTAAATCAGTCCAATGTGAACTCTCTTATGTGGTAATGACAAATGTACCTATATACATATAAATCTCAGGCAAACTGGCGAGGAAAACCAGTTAATGTAATAATCAAGACCGTGGAAGTTGATTACACAATTGTTTTATTTAATTACAACGACATCTGTTGAATAAGTGCTGGTTTTGTTTGATCAGCTTGTTAACACAATGTCTTTCAATCTCTAAAGGGGTAAGTTGAACACTGGGAAGAAGAAGAATTGAACAAATGGGAGATCCAGTTTTATCCACTTATGTTATGACAGATATACATAGCATACTTCTTTGTCCTATGGAGGTAGGAACAAACTATGACTATTGCGATCCTTACGAGTACCTATACACCGGCTACAAATCTGGACTAACTTCGTCTGTCTATCTGTCACGACTTTTGCTATAATTGAGAATTTTCCTTATGTAGATTGCCTCTCTGGCCGAGGGGTTGCAAGTGCGACTGTCGGGCAAGGCGTCCTGGGTTCGATTCCCGGGTCGAGCAACATATTACTGGGTTTTTAAGAAATTCTCAGTGATAGCACGGAGTCTGGAATTGTGCTCGGTATATGGCAATAGGCTCACCCCTATTACGTGAGACTCATAACATAAATAGTGAAAAGTGGGTGTTACATTGTACGCTGGCACTAAGTGTTGTAATGTGCACCTCTGCCTACCTCTTCGGGGATAAAAGTCGTGATGTTACGTTGAACATTTCAATAATAGCCCAAGAATTGAGCCCAACACCCTCGGTGGACAGTCACTCTTGCGATCACTTTAACCAACGAGTAAAGCAGTTATGATGACAAAGATAATTTATTGTTCAATCACTCTATTTGATCAGCTTGTGTAAACACGCCCCGTCCATGTGTGTGTACGTGTTTTAAAAAAAATTAAAATATGTAATGATAAATATTTTGATTTTGAGTTCGTTGGCCGACTTTTTTAAAGATGTTAGTGATCGTTAAATTATTTCAACACAATACACTTTAGCAGGTACGGTCAGCATCAAAGGTTGATGAACACATTTAGATTTTCAAAATCGCTGTACATGATAACAACAAGCGCCAGAAATAAATAATTATTTTGTGTTACATTTTTTTTTTGTGGGGGCAATATCATCCATTGACTTCTCCCGCCTTGGGTGAGGCGAGAGGGAGTGTCAGACTCTTACTGACTAAAAACCATCCCGTTCCTACTCCTGCACTTCGAGCCGGAGCCCCGGCAACCCGTTAGGCCTTCCGCGACTCCGTATCGGGCATCAGCCCTACTAGGCTTTATCTGTGGATCTCGTGTTACATTAATGCTTGTCATGTTCACCGATTTAGGTAGAACACGGTGTACAGCGATTTTGAAAATGTAAATGTGTACATCAACTTATGATGCTGACCGTACGAATTTTGAATTTTTCGCTGGGAAAAGTAGACGACCATGGAGATCTTAGGTTGAAGTCTCTGCCTTAGAATTCGTAGATTAAATTTTAAGACCGAGTGTGGAAATAGTTACTTGGAACGATTTTCCTACAGTTATTGCAACTATAAAATTCCCTGTTAGAAGTGCAGAAATGAAGAAGGATAGCTAAGAAACAATTTCCCTTTACTCGAGATCTTGTCAGTGACACCACACTACCACAAAATTATTGTATATGAACAAAGCCCACATTCAAAGCCAATAAACTAGGAAACTTGGCAAGACACAATACCTAGGTTATTTGCAAAAAGTTTGCGTTTTGAATGAACATAAGTGCTGCACTGCGACGCTTCGTGGTGCAAGCTAGGATGGGGGGCATACAAGGCTCTTACATACAGGTGGCCAGTCCAATATTGGGCAGTTACAGCCAGTTCATGATGATGAATTTTGTGTCCCACACGACACTAATTTTAAGTTGTACTGTAATTGGTTCAAGCAAATAAATGTATCTAATTGCTCTTGGTAAATGGTAAGACGTAATACTAAAGTCAGCTAGGTTATTTGCAAAGACTTCAACGTTTTGAATGTAGATGGTGCACTGCGACGTTCAGTGGTGCAAGCTAATACGATTGTGATCAGAGTGCAGGCATTACTTGAGAAATCACGCTAGCTATAATATAATAACATTCTCAATTGATGTGACCTAGATAGACCAGGTATGGTGGAAAAGCTTTTATAGTGAATAGATTTTGTTAATCAACTTAAAACTACACCGTACTAATACATTGCCAATTTATAAAGGATAATTAATCAACTGCTACTTTCATCTCTGCACTATTTAAAGGTTGACTGGGATATGCCCAAGGCATTAAGGCAATCTGCACACGCTGGTACTAAGTCGAATTAAATATCCATTTCGCCATCTTGAAGTTATATTCCCAAAAACAGATCTATCTCTAGTTGCCCTAATCTTTAGACTGCTTTGTTGGTTGATTGGTCGCAAGTGCTACAGACAAACAAGGAGTACTCGGTTGGTATCCCGGAGAATTAAGTTGAGGGGATCTGAAGTGAAGCAATGGACTCACAAAGACATGATATATTATTATATTATAATCATAACGATGGTGACTTGGTCACCAAACCGGACTTATCATACGAATTCCTTTTAAAGACGAAACCGTCTGTCAGATTGTCTAGTGACTGCATAACTGTCAAAAAAGTAGGCTACTCACGTTTGTTCTCGAGGCGCGTCGGCTCTGTGACGACATTCTTCACTCCTCCTTGATTCATGTCAGTGCCGCTACACGCGCCTACCAGTAACCATCTTAATTCGGCTGTAATAGAGGAAAATCAACATTAATAATTATCTTACCACCTACGATGCTTAAGTACGTATGAGGTATAATGCCCAAACAGTCATATTTCGATAGCACTAGGTGAGATGTAGGGAAAATCTTTGAACTAAATTCCACTGAAGTTTATGAGGGTTTCAGACTAGACTTAACCAACGAGGAGCTTGGCAATGGTAAAATGAGTTTCTTATCATTTGTAATATCTCGTTCTTGGTGGAATACGTCGACAGATTTTTGGTTTCCAATAAAATGGAAAAGTTTCGATAACATTGTAATAAACCATTAAAATAAAATCTTTCCTATATCCATTCAAGACAATTCTAGAACCAATACTAATTATAGATCTAGCTAAACATACATATATGAAGACCAAAAAAAAAACTAAATACAAATCTTCCTAAAATAAAACAAGGTCTTACGCATGACATACCTATCTTTAAAAAATATAGGAATGCTAAAATAATTTGGCTGACGATAGCGACGCGATGACGCAACCACTACAGGACTTAGATCATCAATAATATATCAATGATCGTAAAATTATGTATCATTACTTGTAATCATGATTATTATCATGCCGTAGTATGTTTTGGTTTGGTAACAAAGACTTTTTGTTTACTGTTAATATTAAGATCTCTATCTGATAGACAGTACGACTATTTTGCAATTAGGACAGACAAATAAAAATATGTGTGATTCTACCTTCTTCCATAAGTAAAACATGTGTCTTTTAGAAATTAACTCATTTAGCTTGTTCATAATTATCATTTTCCTCAACCTGTATCTGTTCCACAGCTGGGTGCAGGCTTCAACTCATAATATGGAGAAGGAATGAGAATCAATCACCGTGCTTGCTCAAGGCAAATTTGCAATTAAAACTCATAATTTCGAATTAAAAAATTAATCCCAACAAGCTAACATATCTAAACAACAAGTCGGCGAAAAATGTTCATAGCAAAACTCTATGAACTCCAATTACAATAGTAATAAAATTCGCGTCCATTAGAAATAATTTTGTAGGAAATTCCTAATGAGTCCTAGATTTTGCAATGCGGCACTGCAGTTACAAAAGTAGGCCGTCCGTAGTAGGTACTTAATACGACGATAACAATATCTTTTATTGCGATAGCAATTATTAATAACAACATAAACAGAAGTCACGTGTAATCATGTGATACCTAGGGCTTACTCTATGTCCGTGATTACTGACTTTATTGAGGGGAGAAAATCATCCAATGGCTCCTCCCGCTATTGGTAAGTCAAGAAGTGTCAGAGGGCAGGTAACGGTCTAAAACCACCTCGTTCTAAGTCCTGATTGGCGGGTTCCAATGAACCAACCAATCAAAGCGGTCTCGTTTCGATTACTTTAAACATAACCTCGTACTAAGGCGTCAGCTTCGGACGGGAGTCACGGTAGTAAAGTTTTTGCGCTTTACTCGCAATCCTAACCGAGCATCGGTCGTGGTGCCTCCGTGTGTAGTGGTCTAAGTACTGTCAGCTAAGTTATAATTATTTCTTTATTAACCCGTTGTTCCACTACTAGCACAAGATTTGTAAATAAACAAAATTTCCATATGTTCACGGGAAATATGTAGAAATGGGACCTGACCGAAGCTAGGGCGGGTCGCTAGTAAAATAGTAAAAATGAATCTGAAGTCTGTAATGTTAAAGTGTACCTACAGTTAATGTAGTTTGTTATCCATTAGAAATCTCCTTTCTACAAACTGTTTAGTTAGCTCCGACGCTAAAATCGATTGTAGGTATACTGTCTCATGCCATTAATCATTTTAGCCTTCATTTTATGGGGTGGCTTACGAGCGGTTATTACAAAAATAATCTTTAATCTCTGAGTAATATATTTCATAGTCCTTTGTCCGAACATTTTCTTTGCAGTACTTAGGGAGCGATATTCATTGGCGTCGTATAATCTTGGAGATTTTAGACCCTAAATCAATCAAGTTAATACAATGGAGTTCCGATAAGTTTAAGTTCTTATTATTTTCTCCAGACCATCTTCAAACTCAATTCGCAATACCAAACTCCCTAGCTTTTTTCCAAAAATTTGCTTTGTATACCTTTCAATCTCGGCAAGCAACATATTCCAAGGGGACAAAAGCTACAGAGTAACTGATTCCCATCACAATGCCGTTTGTGTGTGCTCTTATAAGATACAATTTTAACCAGATTCGATTTCATTAGTATATTGAAAAAGAGAATCACTGTCATATATGCCTTCTACAATCGACAGAAGCTCCTTTTTTGATTGAACACTTCTGTATACTGATTTCTAGATAGGAAGACCTGTTTAGCAGTCAGTACAAACCAAATTCACGTGTCTTATGTCTCAATTGATGTCAAATTCTGGTTAAAAGTCGAAATGCCGCCATGGCGGTCACCGGTGACCGGCGTTAACGGAGGATTAACCTTCAACGGTTTTTTATTGGCAGTCAAAATCTTAAAAGAACAGATTAGGCAAAATTTTATTTATTTCATTTATTTTTAGTCATGGTCGTCCCACTGCAGGGCAAAGGCCTCCCTATACTTCTTCCAATCATCTCTTCTTATAGCCAATATGGCCAATCGTTTTCATAGACAAAATTCATCTTATATATTGAAGGCTATTCAGGAAAGGCTTAAAAGGCTTGACAATATAGATAAAAAAAAACAATGCAGAGGTATTCCAGTGCTAGCAGTGCTAGTAGGAGATTTAATATACAAGATAACCTTCAAACTCCTTGCCTAAATTGTAGGTAACTTTAAGCTACACTGTTCCCTAGTACGTACACCGACATTTACAGACTAATTAAGTATGATAAGATTTCGTACGTAAGTTATGCATTACATACCTATTCGTGCAAAACTGAACGGATTTTTTATTTTCATTGTTGATTAAAGCCACTGCACATCACTATTATCACCAATGTATTATTATTTTAACACCACCAAAAACAATATAATAAAACAGATTTACATGATTGAATTATTATTATTATTAGTCAAGTTTAAAATATTTCATAAAAAATATCAAAAACCACAACACCTTTAAAAATATTTACGCATAAAATTATTAATTTAAAAATAATAAAATATTTGTTTTTTATTGCAAAATAAGAAAACACATCACCGCTAGTGTTGTGCACGCACAATACTGCGGTTTTATCGGTAAAATTATTTTTTATCAAAATTATCGATAAGACCAAGGATATCAATAAAAATAAAAAGATTATCTAATGTTTTTTAACCGATCGGTACACGTGAATTACTCATCTTTTAGTTATCTGGAGGAAACACGACAAATGTAGACATAAGGTACTTGAACATGTATTTGTAAAAAAACCTGTAAAGGCATTTTAAGCTCCCTAGAGAGGAAAGTTATTATGATACGGAGGACAAAATTTCCAACTCTTTACTCTTGGGAATTTCGAAATTGAACGCTCAGTACATTTTACTGGATATTGGAGTTGATCCAGGGACAATGTATTAACAGTCACTTAATTAACAACACAGTCAATTCTTTTTTTATAGAATAGACAGCAAACGAGCAGACGGATCACCTGATGGTAAGCGATCAGCGGTGCCCATCGACATCTGGAACACCAGAGGAGTCACAAGTGCCTTCAAAGTCAAAGTCAAAGCATTTATTTCAATTAAACCATAATTTGGTTCTTTTGTAACGTCAACAAATACAAAATAAATAATAGTCTGTCAGTCAGTCCGTCAGTGAAGCTAGGTGCTCATTCCAAAATGTAGATTCAAATGGAGAAGAACGAGCAAGAAACTCCATACTCCTTGTCTGCCTTTTAAGAATAGCTAAAAATATCAATTATACACAGGTATTCGATACACATATCTCTCTATCTAAAAATACATTCCACTTGGTAATATCGAGGAAGCATATTTCCATAGGTACTTCTCGTATAATGACTCATGTACAAAAGTAAATATTCACTTTCAAACGTTGGTATCTATTTATCTTTCCTAAAACATTACACTCACGGCTATAGGTATTTAATATGAATAACATTTACAAAGCCTTTATTTTTACTACTTTTATAAGCCAAGCATTTATGTGGTAACTGGGCTCCATTCGTAGTAAGAGAGGGCTACGGGCTACCGTCATGACAGGGGTTTCTTGAACTGGTAGTGTATTTAGATTAATAATGCGATAGTACTGCAAAGGCTTAATTATAAACGAACAAGAAACAGAACTATAGAATCGAAAGGTAAAATTAACATACGTCTTATTAAAGGGCAAAAAAAGGCAAGTAAGCTCCTCAGTCAGTATTACTCTAATAAAACAAATCCCTTGGACTTTTCTGTGCACCTTTTGTTTATATGAGATGGCTAGCAAGTTTCCTTATTTAGTCTGGTCGGGTTTTCGTGAGAATACACGAGATGTCCTTGGGATAAGATCTCCTATCTCGGAGGCGAGTCGGTCCGTAATCCACAAACGTGAGCCATAGTGGATTAGTAGATTTGCCTAGTAAGCTACAGCTGGTCGAGACACAAGTTCTATGATTCTGACAATCTCTTTTAATAGATTCATTCTCTTTAAGAATGTTTGGGACATGATCGTATTTTACTAGTATGCTGAAAGCTATTCAAAAACATACTTTAAGATAAAGTTTTATTATATCTATACCAAATTTGTTCTCCTCCAATAGGAGTATGTGTAATAACACAGTACCGTATTTTCCATAAGGGCACTCGGGGCCCGTGTTCATGACCGCCATCCTCACGCACGTTGCCGGTTGACGTGCAACGTGCAGTGGGTTTTGATTCCGCACGGTGCAAATTTGTGTGTGATTCACAAATTGTGGTTTCGGGTCTGGGTGTTACGATACAAGAGAAAAACCTAGTGTGTAGGGCTGTGTAAAAAGAAACATTGGTAAAGAGCCCGAAACATTGTGTGCGGAAGGGCCACAGCGTAGACTAAGACGGCCCTGTTTCTGTCCTTACAAATTCTTTGTAAATGACAGAGATGACACGATATTTAAGTACAACTTAAAATTGAGGCACCTTTCAGTATTCGGATGGTAATTGGTTAAGGGCCGGTCTGCCTAACTAAAACTTAATCAGACATTGCGTAATCAGCTCTAAATCGTGTTGTATTTCAAATGTATACTTGAACACATCTGCTTTTCTTCGAGGAATAGCCGACGTGAACCGCGATGTTATGTCAAGCAGTTCCCACATAAATATACATTTTGCTCGCAGCTCCGAAACATCTGGCAGTATTGAAGATCTGAGACAAATATTTCATTTATTCCGTTTATCGATTATGAAACTATTCGAATGTCGATGAGATCTGAATGTTCAAAGTTCGGAATTGTGCCGGAGGGGAGCATATCGGAAGCGGATGGACTGAACTGAATTGTCGCTTGGTTTGACAGGAAGTTGATATTTTCATATAGTATGTGTGCACGTAGGCTTGCTCTGGTTTCAACTCGTTTCCTTCGAGCCTTGTTGGTTTAGGGAGATTTTAAGTGCAAATAAATCTTAGGCACGATTGGCTTGTCCTTGTAGGTAAGAGTGCAGAGTTTCATTGCATAGTTAGATAAAAGTTTAATTAGGTTCGATTGCAAATCTCTTCTGGAACTCCGGAAGCTAGTTGAAATAAAATAAGCGTTATCAACCGCTTTAATTTGACAGACAATATAAATGTATAAGTCGTTACCTAAGCAAATGTCCGAAAAGACAAAATAAGCATTTCCCTAATGGACAGCTGAATTCATAATTGCGCCATTTTTAGCGGGGTAGACGAGAATTCTGCAAACTCGTGCATTTTTAAATAGCAGTGAAGGCACACCTACATTTTATTCATTTTGAATAGGCTACAGCGCTAGAAAACAATGATTACATGGACTAGAAAAAAAAAATAGTCATACCACCACAAACCTGTTTTCAAAAGATTTGCATTTACGAGCTCATCATTCATTCATTTATTATGAGTAAATTAAGCGGATAAAGTCAATACTTGTTTCGCCTAATTTACTAATACAGTTTAAACTGTCAAACACCAAGCGGTCACCGGTGACCGCAACCTATTGTTCTATAATTGTGTCTACAAAACCGGTACTCGACGAGTTAACCATTATACTGTACCCATCGGCTTTCCAACCAGTTCATTAAACATTTGATTCACGAGACGTGCGTCGTGCAATTATGTCATGGCGGTGACATCATCGTCTGCTTGCTGTTTGTTAGAGAAACCAGTGGAACGGTGTACTGGGTCAAACCTAAGGTGTGAACCAAGGTCGAGTCTATAAATACCGAAAATTCGAATCCTTTTGTTACTCTTATTGCGTGTTAACATCGCTTTAATGTATCCAACGAGCGAATTTTAAGTGGTTCCAACTTAAAGCATATTATTATTACCTATTTCGCTCCGCAATTTACGAAGAACCCGAGTGGCCTGATTCGGCTCCAATTTAGGAATTCTGTCCGAAAATTGTGAGGCTATTTGCGAGATTGACATTGCCCAAATCTGGGTGACTTTTACAAACGATAAAATAAGGAAATTGGACACGTTCGAGATCCAGACATTTTTAGTTTGATAGACCAGACTGTAGACTATTCGGAAATTAGATTCGTGACAAAATGTTCAGAGGGCAAAAAAACTAATTTAAAGTATAGGTCGCATCTCAAACAGAAAAATCATAATAGAGCCAAAATCAAAAGAACAAGAACCCAATCGCTCATTCATAGATTAAATCGTGATTTGCAATTCTTATCAAATTCCAAGCTCAGGAATGAAAAGAATATCGGCGTCTCTTTACATTGCGTGATAAAGCAGTGTTTCAATGTAAAGATGGCCGCATATGGGTCAAGGTGACACTTTTCGGAAGCTCTGTAGCTATTCAGTGATGCGTTCCGCTCTCCGCTGGTCATTTCAATCTAGCGTCTATGAAAGGTTTTGCTTTTACGGCAAACCAGTCCTAAATTTTAGATCACACAGTAAGATTAATATCTGCTTTGATGACAAAATGAGATTATCCAAGTATGAAACAATGTCTAACAAAGATTTGCAGAGTTAAAATAATCTAGTTTGTGACACGTTAATACTTTTTTGTAAACAAATCATAAGCGTACATGAGAATGAATGAGAAAAGAACTCCAAAAGATAGTTATCAAAGAAAAGAAAAGATTTGACATAAGATCCCAGAATTGAAATGGATAAAACGCTGCACAGTTGAAGGACAACTTACTACTAAAAGATACACAAAAATGTATTACTCACAAAAATCTTACCTTCCAAACAGGTGAAGGAAACGGTGTCCATTTATTCGTTCAGAAAACACTTTCCTTGTCTGATTACAATAATGAAAGAGACGTCAGTCGAGGAAAACTGTCTAGAAACCAGTCATATGACACCATTAAAATTGTAAATGTAAACAATACAACGTTGCATGTAGACACGACTACATCAACCTATGCAAAACCAGTACAAACTGACCGTTGAATGTTCGCAAAGATCATTGAAAGCGAGACCATGAAAAAGTGGTTGTATAGCTTGATTTGCAGTGTGTACCTAACGTTAGTGTTGGACATGAATAATAGAATGATGAGACGGCACCAGTAAGGACGTTGCTCACATTTGTAAAGTGGACGAAACGAGTAACGATGTTTTTTCATTTAGAAGTACATTCATTGGACTTTTTTAACTTATTAGGTATATTATGGTAATTTAAAACAATAATAAATTCATTCATAATTTAATTTACTCTTTATGGCTCATTCATGAGAATTCTTCAGCATTTGAATCTCATATAAATATTTTAAGTACATACGTAACGACCTATTAGAATAAGTAAAAACTACAATTTCATTCATTAATTCGTTTAATATTAATTCACTTGTTATGGCCACTGTATGAGAAATGAGAATGGTAGTTGGCGTAAATAAATGATGAATATCGACTGACTGGACGTTTATAACTATGTCGGATGAAAATTAAATGCATACTT